AGTGACAGTTCAAGTACTTTGATGCCTACCACTCAAGTGGAGACCTGGATGGAGTTTGAGTTCTTGGCTTCAGCCTGGCTCTATAGGAACTTGGGAAATGGAATATTGAATGAAAATCTCTCTCCATCTCCCTTCTTCTTTCCCATTCTCCCTCTCTTCCTCTTACCACACCCCCAGTTCTCTCTGTTGCTCTGCCTTTCAAATAAATAAATACAAACAAACATTTAAAACATGGAGGAACCCAATACTATTTTCCCATATTAGGATTCTTGAGTGAGAACAAAATCACTTATTATGTAGGAAAATGAAGACTTCTGATAAGAGAGCTTGTTTCAGAACATATCCATACATTTACTCTGAAAAAGATATTTAGAGTGACAGTTCTTCCATTTGCTGGTTTACTGCCTAAATGGCTGTAGGAGCTGGGGCTGGGCCAAGCTGAAGCCAAGAGCCAGGAACTCCATCAGGGTCTCCTCATGAGTGGCAGGACTCAAGCACTTGCACCATCATCCACTACTTCCCAGGTACATTAGCAGGGAGTTAGACTGGAAGATGAACAGAGGAAACCCAAACCAGAACTCTGATACAGGCTACTGCACCCCAAGGGACAGCTGACTCACTATGCTACAATGTTGGCTCCTGTGCTGGCCCCTGTTTAAGAAGTATTTATTGGACAGCTACCCTGTGCTCAGTATTTAGACCTATTTGAGGTTCTGTGGGGAAATCAGAGTTGAATAGGAAAGAACTTAATGTCTACATTAGGGGTTGGTACATTGTTTTCTACAAAGGACCTATAGTAAACATGTTAGGCTTTGTGGACCATGTCTTTTCTGTTGTAAATATTCATCTCTATTATTGCAGCCTGCAAGCAGTCATATATCATAAAAGTTAAAGGGTGGGCCCAGCGTGGTGGCCTAGTGGCTAAAGACCTTGCCTTGCATGCCCAGGATGCCATATGGACACCAATTCGTGTCCTGGCTGCTCTACTTCCCACCCAGCTCCTTGCCTGTGGCCTGGTAAGCAGCAGAAGATGGCCCAAAGCCTTAGATTCCACACCCACGTGGGAGACCCGGAAGAGACTTCTGGCTCCTGGCTTTGGATGACCTCTACTCCAGCTGTTGTGGCTACTTGGGGAGCAAACCAGCAGATGGAAGATCTTCCTCTCTGTCTCTCCTCTTTTCTATAAATCTGACTTTCCAATAATAATTCTTAAAAATTTAAAAAATAAATAAACATTAAGGGGTATGGTCATATTTTTTTTAAACTGGGGGTACAACTTGGAGCTGCAGTTAAAACATCACTCCAAAGTCCACATCCCATATCTGGGTATCTGGGTTTGGGTCCTAGCTCCAGTCCTGACTCCAGCTTCCTACTAGCGCATACCCCCCGGGAAGCAGCAAGCGATGACTCAACAGTTGAGCCTCGGACATCCACAAAGGAGATCAGGATTGCTTTTGTTTCCCAACTTTAGCCTAACCCAGCCCTGGCTACTGTGGGCATTTGGCAAATGAGCCAGAGGATGGGAGCTCTTTCTCTCTCTCTTTCTCTCTCTCTCTCTGTTTTTAAGAGAAAATGGATCAGTGAATATGTAAACAAATAAATATTTTGAAAAAACACAATGCAAAAACTACCCCCGGCTAGATTTGGCCCATGGGCCCTTGTCTGCTGACTCCTGGAAGAGACCCTTTGATGGGATGCACCCAATTTACTACAACACACTCAGCCTGTCAGGATGTTATTATCTCCTGCCTGAACTGTTAACAAGAGCTCCCCTCTCTAGTCTTGTATCACCTAAATACTGTCATCGACAAAGCTGTCAGAGTGATCTTCTGTTTTAACACTGTCGCTGCTATTCTTCAAACTCTTCAATGGCTTAGCACCACTCACAAGAAGAAAGTCCACACTTCTTAGCAGAGTATAAAAGGCTCTTTGTGCTCCAAGCCCTGCTTTGTCTCTGGACCTGTCTTGCACATCCCTTGCTACTACTCCCTTCCTCTCTTCTGTGCTGAACTGCTACTCAATTACCCCAACACACCAGGCTATTTCAGGTCTCTGCTCCTCGCCCCCCAAGAGACACTCCCGTATACTCAGGGTATCACTCTCTGAAGGTTCCTCACTTCACAAGTTGAGCACACCTGACGCTCTTCCTCCCCCTTATCTCATCTCTACCTTCTGCTGTTACATGTGGAGGATAAGCCTGTGGACTGCTCAACAGTAGGCAGCCATCTACTTTTTTTCTTTGCAGTTGTAGCTCTAATTTCTAGTATAATGTCTGACATATAACAGGTGTTGAAATCTATCTTGAGAACAAGTCAACTGAAGCTACTACACACAATGCTTTATCATTTCAAAAACAGAATGCATCATTCTTGAAAGGGAGAATCAGAAAAGTTTTGAGGAAAGTAGTAGCACATGTTACCAGCTAACGAAAAGATAAGTAAGCATGTAAGGTATAGGTCCTCACTGAAGCAAAACAAGTGAACACAGAGAGGTTAAAAACAATGTCCAATGGTGAGTACTTCAGCTTGATGGGAATTCATTAGGAATACAAAAAGTCCATTAGAAGCAGCTTGAAGAGACTCTGAACACCATGCTAAAAGGGCTGCATTTTATTTTGCAGGTGGTGGCCATTAGACATGGCAGAATGACATGGAACAGGAAAGTTGGTCAAAGTCAAAGTCGGTGATGGCAATGGGAACTAAAGATACTGACACAATGTGGTAAATTGACCACTGGACATGGCAGGGTAGAAACCAAAATAACCCCCAAGTGTTAAGCCTTGAAAACGGAAATAAACAGGGATCTAGTAACTGGAAGAGAAGTAAAAAAATAGAGTGGATTTGCTTTTGAAATTACCAGGGGTATCTGGTATGATTCTGAAAGTGGGAAACAAATGTTCCAGAGATACCTGGAAGACCTCTATCTACAGCTGACACCTAAAAACACCAAGCAGGGGCTAGTATTGTTCCAGTGGTAAAGTGGCTGCCTGTGGCATCCCATATGAGCAGCCGTTCATGTCCTGGCTGCTTCACTTTGAATCTAGCTCCTTGTTAATGGCCTGGAAAAAGCAGTGGAAGACGGTTCAAGTATTTTGGCCCCTGCTATCCATGTTGGAGACCCAAGTGAAGCTCCTGATTCCTAGCTTTGGCCTGGCTCTGTCCTGCCTGTGGACCAGCACCATGGCACATAGCAAAGCCACCTACTAAAGCACTAGTTCAAGGCTCCATTTCCAATCCAGCTCCCTGCTAATGAACCTGGGAAAGCTGTGGAGCATGGCCCAAGTGCTTGGGTTCCTGCATGCCTGTGGGAGACATGGCTTTGGACTAGCTCAGCTCCAGCCATTGCAGTTATTTGGGGAGTGAATCAGTGGCTGGAAGACCTCTGTAACTCTGCCTTTGAAGTAAATACACATACACACACATATAAATATATAAACAAAAGCAAGTGAGGAGATAGTAAAAGATTGACAGTTCTTTATTTACCAAAATGCAAAAAGTTCTTGCACCTATTTCTACCACAGCCCCTGTAACATCTTTGTACTAATTTGCACACACATCTGCTTCTTTGATTTGAACTCCTTAAGAGAAGAGGTTACGGTTTATCATCTTTGGTTCTGCAGTCTATTACCTTGAAAACAGCAATATCTAGTATATTTGCTCAATGAGCAGGCTTCATATTCATAGCACAAATTTTTTTTTTTCTGTTGGTTGTTACAATTTAATTCTGTGCAAAGACTTAAAAAAAAAAACTTTCAAAATCACTTCAGGGGTTTGTGCCTGCAGCAGCAGTAGCAGCATACCATGTGGGTATTGGTTGAAGACCCAATTGCTCTATTTTTAAACCAGCTCCCTCTTTAAGTGTCTGGGAATGCAGTGGAGGATGGCCCCAGTGCTTGGGCCCCTGCACCCATGTGGGAGACTCCTGGTTTTGGATTGGTTCAGCTCAGCCATGATGGCCATTTGGGGAGTGAGCTGGCAGATCAAAGATCTCTGTGTGTCTGTCTGTGTGTTTGTGTAACTCTGCTTTCACATAGAGAAATGAATTTTTTTAAAAAGATTTATTTATTTATTGGAAAGTCAGATACACAGAGAGGAGGAGGGACAGAGAGGAACATCTTCCGTCCGATGATTCACTCCCCAAGTGAGCGCAACGGCCAGTGCTATGCTGATCCAAAGTCAGGATCCAGGAAATTCTTCCGGGTATCCCTACGTGGGTGCTGGGTCCCAAAGCTTAGGGCCGTCACTGACTGCTTTCCCAGGCCACAATCAAGGAGCTGGATGGGAAGTGGAGCTGCCGGGATTAGAACCGGTGCCCACATGGGATCCCGGTGTGTTCAAGGCGAGGACTTAAGCCGCTAGGCCACGCCGCCGGGACTGAGAAATGAATTTAAAAAAAAAACAAAAACACTTCACTTTGTGGCCAGTGTTGTGGCCCATCAGGTTAAATCCTGCAACACTGGATATTACATGTGCACTGACTTAAGTTCAGGTTGCTCTATTTCCAATCTAGCTCTCTCCTTCCCTGCCTGGGAAAGCAGTGGGAGACGACACAAGCACTTGGGTCCTTGCTACCTATGTGAGAGACCAGGATGAAGCTCTGGGCTCCCAACCTCAGCTCGATGCAGCTGTAGCTATTTGTGGGAGAGAACCGGTGGATGGATTGTCTGTCTTCCCATCTCTCTAACTCTGCCCTTCAAGTAAATACAAGAATCCTAAAAACACACATGCATGTCACATGTCGTAAGTCAGATAGATGGTGGCAACCTGAGGTAGATGAGCCAGTGGTTACTAACAGGGAAAATGCTGACATGGCATTGCTTCTTGTTATCCTGAAAAATAATAGCTATCTGTTAACAGTTAATTCCTATTTCTTCTGTCAATCTTTTCTCCACCCAAATTGCCATCACCCTAGCCCCTGGCATGCTTGAAAGGAAAGAGAGAAGATGCTGGCGTAGTGTAACAGGGCCGCCCATACCCAACCTACGGAGAGATGCTGCTGACCTTTATGTGTCTGTTCATAGCGGTGGACTGTGCTGCGCGCACCAGGCCCTCCAGCTCAGCACCGCTGAAGTTCTTGGTTTCCACAGCCAGTTCTTTAATGTCCACATCAGCAGATAGCAACTGGTGGCCTCGCATCCTTGCCGTATGGATGTGAAGGATCTGCAGTCGACCTTTCTCATCTGGCAAGCCTGACAAAAAATAAAAAGAGAGATATCTTTCTAGTCTGGAAACCATCATCAGAGGAGATGATGACAACTTTCATGCTTTCCTTATAAGTGGCACATAAAGAGCCACCTGCTTCCCACAAGTACATGACTTCCTGCTCCTGTTCATGGACCTCGAATCCCACTGGCATGTTCCACTGAAATACACACCCATCAGGAACAGCTCTGCTTACCGATCTCCATTTTAACTTCCAGTCTTCCAGGTCGAAGGAGAGCCTCGTCTATCAGATCTGGTCTGTTGGTCATTCCTGAGCACAGAAGTCAAAAAACAACAACAAAAAATCAAGGTTCAAAAATAAGATTAAAAAAAAAAAGACCTTTAGTGTTTATAGATAAATGATACTGTATATATATATAAATATACACACACACACGTGTGTGTGTGTATCTGTGTGTGTGTGTATGAGATAGTAATTTCCTCTACAAAATAAGAGGACATTTTATAAAAGTCAAATGGAAGACCAAATTATGCTTAGATAAAAACATTTGATCTTGATCTGTTCTAATGAGAACACTTGGAGACTCAGCTTTAGTATTTCACTGTGGTTCAAGTCAACAGAATTAAAATGTAATGGAAACTCCCAACATTTAAAAAGAAAACCAAAGGTTGAGAGGACACGTAAGCTGTCAAAGAGACCGAGGCGATGTGGACAACGACTCTCTGACTCCAAGGTTCTTTCCCTTCTCTGTAGACCGGAGGTTTTCTCCAAAATACCAGCAGCTTTTCCAAAGTCATCATGAGAAAAAGCTCAGCACATAGAGTCAAGAAGAAGCTACAATAGTGATACAGTTCCTGGGTCTGACTCCTTGGGCCCTCCTCAGTGACCCTGAAGTACCCACAGAGGACACTGGAAGCCAGGACTGAGTAGGAAAGGCACTGCATTATGCTGTGTGGCTGCTTCCATATGTGGCTGAGCTGAGAGCTGAAACCTGGTACAAGTCAGTAAAACCACCGTTGACTTTCCCTATTAAATCTATACATGAGAACAGCCAAATTCTTCAACACAACTTGATTCTCATTTGGAAACACTGGCAAACTTGTATAATTCAACTGACACGGACCTTAATTCAGAATTGGTATATCTAATATCTTAAAAAAAAAAGTGTCCATACCAATGACTAGGATGTTGTTCAGCTGCTCTACCCCATCAATTTTGGACAGCAGCTGGTTGACAACAGTGTCATGGACACCTGTGCTCCCGGCCATGCTCCCTCTCTGCTTGCAAATGGCATCAATTTCATCAAAGATGATGATGTGCAAACCACTGTTAGCGCCAAGCTGTTAAGGGAAGAAATTACATGAAAGCTCATCATTTGAATGTACACATTCAAACTACACAAGTTAATCAAAAAGCCAGACAAAGCTTCCAACATGTCGACTTCATTCCATTTGCCCAATAAATATTCCAAGTACAATCATGGCTGTTACACTCCTGAAGATGCTGGGCCTGCCCTCTGAGAACGCTGCAAATTGAAATAACATCCTAGGGCCTCATATTTTACAGCCATGAAACAAAAGCATATACTGAACACCAAAATACAGCATATACAGAGAATGGACAGCCCATTAGTCGAGTAAATGTGACATTACACATACTTCTGACCTCACTATTTGAAAAAACTCTTGTACTTATCAGATGCATTTGTTCAGTCAGCAAGGAGCAACTCCCTCCCACTGCCCCTGAGTTTCAGTGAGAAGACGGTCCCAGAAGCAGCTTCATGCTTGCCTCAAATATATAGTTAAAGATGATCTCTACCCAGAGGTCAGCTGGGAGCAGGGCAAGCAGGTGAAGGAATGGAACATAATTCTGTTCACTCACAACACATGAAAGCAGACTGCTTCTCACAGGGAAGTGAGAACAGAGCCCTTCCCCATCAAAGCACAGCAAAAGGGCTGCTGTGTCCCTGGTGCAGTGATCCCTGCTGGCTCAGGAGAAACAGTTAACTCAAGTGTACATATCTTGAAACTTTAAGAGACACAAATACTTCTGCATGCTAGTAATTCATTGGGTTAAATGAACATGAACCCTTCTAACAATTCATATTTAAGTATTTAAATCTTAACACTAGGAAACAAAGGGGAAAGGACATTATAGAAAATTTTTAAAAACAAAAAAAAAACATTTGGGATTAAGAGATGAATGAACATAACCTAAATGTGAAAATGTGTGAATAATACAAGCCAAATGATAAACATAATGAGGGTTCTGGGGTGTGATCTCCTGCTTGTTGTGGACATTCAGGGATGAAACAGTGAATGGAAGGTAATTGAGCCATTCTGCCTTTCATATCATACCTTTCAAATCTAGAAAAGTAAGCAAAACTTTTTAAAAGCCACAAGCACTTGTTTTTGGGGGGGGTTTAATTCTTGCCATTTTCAATGCAAAACAAGGATCCTACTGTTTGTGACTATTATTTTTATTCAAGATTATTTGTTCAATACAGCCTGAAGCAAAAAAGAAAAAAAAACTGCTATAACCTGTGGATTTTGTTGTCAGTGCGCCATGTCATTGCACTTACGACTCAAAAATCACCTATGAGGACAGGAAGCCAGGAACAATAACAACACTGTATTTGATTAACTGGCTGTAGTGGCAATCTGTCTGAAACATAATTTACAATTTTGACCTTTTCAGAAACCTTACTAATCTTGTATCCTGTCATCAAGCCCTTTCCCCCAACCTTCTCAGTACAGTGGCATCAATGTTTACAGGTGTGTTTCTTAAAGAAAGGCAAGTTCTTATTGAAATAAATTAGGAGCCAGGTAAAGAATATATCAAGATTTATGTTCACCACTGACTATAACTGGATCATAATGAGCCTGTTATCAAAGGATGGATATAGCTTAAGTCATCAATATGCTTTTTTTTAATACCTCTTCAGTTCATTGCTGCCACTTGTGTTTGCACTAGCTCCAGTCTCTCCCCTTGGACAAAGAGTTGATGCTGGCAGGTCCCTGGCGAGGGCCTCTCAGTGCAGCTGTTCTAGATTCAACTGGCTTGACCTATTTGCAAGTGTTGCTCTCCACCAGCCTGGATTGTCTACGGTCAGAGGTGAGGTTTGTCTTTATTATGTAACACAGATTTATCCTCCATGGGGCTCTTAGATGAGTACACCAAACCATCGCTGGAAATAATAATTCAGAAAGGTGTAACTGAAAGCATCGGCTATGACTAATAGCTCGCCAAGAAATTTTTTGCTGATTCAGTTTTAGTATCATATTTAAAATGCCAACATGTTTGAAAAACAGCACCAAAGTTACCAGGTGCCATGTGGAAGCTGTCACAACTGAGATTTTTATAAAATTCTTACTTGTACGCATTTCAACTCTCCTATGTCTAGTGTTTAATCCTTAGTATGTTACCATGGTCCACTAGATCTGACCTTAGTTTTTTTTTTTTTTTACGTTAGTTTTTTTAAGTTTCTTTTTTGAGTATTTCTAACTATGCATATGGATTGATATCACATGATTTTTCTATTTTATAAGTCTTTGAAAGAATCAAAAGGAAAAAATATGTACTTTTAATAATAAAACCCATCATCCAGGTATTTCATAAATCTATGAAGTCATACTGTTTCATAGATCTAAGATACATCATATTATTTCATCATCAGTTATTTCATCAATTATTCTTACAAATCCTAAGACAAGGTTAAAATAGTAAAAGAAAATTTAAGGATGATATTGTTTAGACGAGCGATGGAGCAACAGTGACGTATCGTTAACACCATCCTTCAGTTTTCTTTTTTTAATAAGATTTATTTATTTTTATTGGAAAGGCAGATCTACAGAGAGGAGGAGAGACAGAAAAATTTTTCCATCTGCTGGTTTACTCCCTAAGTGGCTGAAATGGACAGAGCTTAGCCAATCCAAAGCCAGGAGCCTCCCCTGGGTCTCCCATCCTTCTCTGCTTTCCCAGGCCATAAGTAGGGAGCTGGATGGGAAGTGGAGCAGCTGGGACACAGACTGGAGCCCATATGGGAATCCGGCACTTGAAGCGGGAGGATTAGCCAATCCTGCCATTGCGCCAGACCCTTTTCAGTGTTCTTACCATATTGCCCAAAAACATGTCAATTATCTTCCAAAAAAGCATAAGGGAAGGCTGGAAATATAATCTGTATAGCCTGAACCCAGCTTTTTCCCTCAAATTCAAGAATCAGTATGTAAATAATAGATTTTAATCTAAGTACAAAAAGAAAATGTGGCATTTTTATCCAGTTATTCAACTGCGTGACAAGAAACTAGGCCATCTAATTTTGATAAAAGAACTTATGACAGAATTCTTTCATGCTTTATTTAATTTGTACACCAATACTTCCTTGATCTATTTTGTAATAGATGCTGAAGGCAGGTATCATCATGAGATGGCCACAGAAATATATGGCACAGACAGTGAAAACTGCATCAAGAATTCCAAAAGATCCTTACAAGTTAAAAACGAAAATGGTTTCACAGTATGCAGAAAGCACGATACCTTTCTTCGCCTCACAAAATTTCGAGCCAAAGGTCCTTTTAGAATTCTTAAAGTCTTATATGTTTTGACGATCTAAGTGCATGAGACTATGAGATGGTAGTGGGGAGCCCACAGGAGACGTGCTGGTATCTACAACCTTACGGGGGCTGGCTAGTGAACAGTCAGCTGTATCCACAGGCAACTGTTCACTTTTGGCCACGTGGGCTTTTAAAACCAATTAAATAGGGAATTAAGAATTTGTTAGCCATACTTGTATTATATTCAATATTGTAGTAACTTTTCACTATTCTATTATATATAAATGGTCCCATTTAAAAAAGAGAGAGAGAAATTTATTTATTTGGTTGAAAGGCAGAGTGACAGCAAGGGAGAGAGAGAGAGATTTCAAATAGACTGGTTCACTCTCCAAATAGTCACAAAGGCCAGGGCCAAGTTAGGGCCAAATGACCAGGAACCTGGAACTCCATCCAGGTCTCCCACAGGGGACTAGAAGCTCAAGCTCTTGGGCCTATTTTTCTCCTAAAAAAAGTTTTCTTCTGTAAGTTTTAGGATTTTTGCTTTTTGCAAATTCATTCTGCAATTCTGTGTGTGAGACAAGAATTGTACTTTATCTTTTTCTACACAAATGGCCAACTGTATCTGTTCTATTCATGGAACAGCCCATTGTTTTCCCAATCGGTGCTACCAATTGCCTGTCACAGGGATCCCTGCAGCCACATGGGCTCCTGGCTCTGGTCTGACACCAGCTGTTGAGGCCGTTTGGGGAGTGAACCAGTGGTTGAAAGATTCTCTCTGTCTGTCTGTATCCAAAACTTTAGTTCAAATAGACAATTAAAATAAATATTGTACTTATATTGAGTTTTATATAAATGAAATAATCAGTATGCATTCTTTTTTATCTTTTGTTGTTGTTGTTGTTATTCAATATTTATTCATGAGATTCACAGTAATATAAACAAGGGTGAGAAGTGTTTGGCCTGCAAGGCCATCTTATCTGGCCCTATGAAAGCAAGCACAGGTGGGATATGAAATCCAGCACATCTACAGCAGGTAGATTTTTTTGAGTTCCATGTGACCCATGGGTGATGTTACAAAGATCCAAACTGCACTCAGTAGAAAAATGTCCACACCCTGATGCTACAGTCTGCTTATCTTCCCTGCTGTCTTCCATTCCACTGTACAGTGATATGACAATTTATCATTTACTGAATTCTAAGGTGCCAGTTAATTTCCTTCAGCATCTGAAATATGGCATTCTTGCTTCCCTGACTTCTGTTGAAGAGATGATGCTAGCTCAAAACTAACTGGATGAGGTCAGTATCAGGGGAGGATCTGCTTTCCCCTATTAGTTAAAAAGTTAATTTTATGCAGCAATATCCTTACATACACACCCAGAATGACTGACCAAATGTGGCCCAGTCACATGTATGCAAAAAATTAACTATCACAAACAGTACACTCTGGTTTGATTTTTAAGTAACTTTTTGTAAGACTTAAATTAAGCTTTCCCTGTAGCACTAACAACTCAGTCCTCCATCCTATGGAACGGACTCACCGTGAGGTCAGCTAGCTTTCTGTACATGAACCTCAAGCCGACATTAGCCTGTACATCTACCTGCAGATTTCATTTCTCCCTTTTCAACAGGTAGGTGAGTTCAAGTCTCTGGAAGTAATGTGGAACAAAAGAATCACCTGCAAATATATTTGTGACCCATTTTTGTAGCTTGTTAGCTAACACAATCATCTACCTTTGCATTACGGACACGTGCATAATGACATCCTTAATCCTTGGTTCAGAACCAAATATAAACCATATACTCAGTAAATTTGACCTCCAAGGTGTTTCAGAACACAATCACAGAAGCAAGTTTGCCTCTAATCATGTTTCATTCATCAAGCAAGTGACAGACTTTCAGTAAAATATCTTTATATCCACATTACCCTCCTCTGTTCCTCTTCAGCATCAGCAAAGAGTTTGCGAATGTTTGCCTCCGATTCTCCCACGTACTTGTTCAGGATTTCTGGCCCGTTGACCACTTTGGGCTCTCTGGCATTCAACATCTTGCCAATCTGTCGCGCCAAGAGAGTCTTACCACAACCCGGGGGCCCATACAGCAGGATGCCTTTAACGTGCTTACAGCCTAAAAGCAAAAACAGTCTACGTCAACTAAAACCCAAGGACGACATCGAAAGGGAAACATTCTCTACATGTACTTCAGGAAAAAGCACAAGGATTCCATCCCATTAACACTCACACGCCATGAGCAGAACAAGAATGGACAACTAAAGCTCTGCTTTAAAAACAAACAGAAAATCAGAAAACCCACAAATAATTAGTGCTTATGATTGAGAGGGAAAAGTTACCAGATGGATACCTTCAGGAAAGTATGTGCAAGCTATCACACAGAATACTATTCATTCTGAAGTTGTCTCTTCAATCTAAATAAATAATTTTATTATACTTCAATCTCAGAAAAATCTGTTTTTAGGCAATTCTCACCCTGAACAAATCTATCAAGAACGTTATACCAGGCTACAGAAACTGTACCTTAGTCATACAATATCACATCTACTTGTCAATATCAGCATTTGAAAACATGGCAAACACATTTGTGCTAGACGGGTATAGATGAATCCATAGGATCCAAGTGGATGCCACAGACTATGTAGCTAAAGCTCAGTGTCCCACTTCACGTGACTAATGCTAAGCAAAGCGCATGGAAAGGTTTCAGGAGTGGTATCTGATTTTTTTCTGGACCAGCCCTGCTGACACTGCACAGGTTCCATTAGCAATCCAGAACAGTAACACCAACGATCTAGATTCCCCAAGATTTCTTTAATCAACTCTTCATTGGCACGTGCTTATTTCTCTTCTTTTTTTCTTTTAAGATTTTTGTTTTAATTGCAAAGTCAGATATACAGAGAGGAGGAGAGACAGAGAGGAAGATCTTCCGTCCGATGATTCATTCCCCAAGTCAGCGCAACGGCCAATGCTATGCTGATCCGAAGCCAGGAGCCAGGTATTTCCTCTTCCAGGTCTCCCACATGGGTACAGGGTCCCAAGGCTTTGGGCCATCCTCAACTGCTTTCCCAGGCCATAAGCAGGGAGGTGGATGGGAAGTGTAGCAGCCGGGATTAGAACCAGTGCCCATACGGGATCCCAGTCGGTTCAAGGTGAGAACTTTGGCTGCTAGGCCACTGCACTGGGCCCACGTGCTTATTTCTTAAGGTGAAAATAGTTACCTATGATGTCTGTATATTTATGGTAGAGTTCCTCATCTTTCTAACAGTTTCACAGTAAGATATACGGCTCCTTTTTGACTTTTAAAATACTATACCCAAACCAATACTGTGAAATAATGGATCATTAGACAGCAGTGTTACATTCATAACTATGTATTTAAAAATCTCCAGAAATGCAACATGAACAGTGTTTCCGAGCAGATGTTTGGCACAGCAGTGAGGCTGTGCTTTGGAAATCTGCACCCCATGTTGCTGGTCCATGCTACTAAGGTACACCTTGGGCAGGCAGTGTCCCAGCTACCATGAGGGAGACCTCAATGGAGGTTCATCTTTGTTCTTTTCTTTTTTTTATTATTGTCTTTTTTGTTTTAAAGATTTATTTTATTTCTAATACAAAGTCAGATATACAGAGAGGAGGAGAGACAGAGAGGAACATCTTCCGTCTGATGGCTCACTCCCCAAGGGACCACAACGGCCAGTGCTGGGCTGATCCAAAGCCGGGAACCAGGAACCTCTTCCAGATCTCCCACATGGGTGCAGAGTCCCAATGCTTTGGGCTGTCGTCAACTGCTTTCCCAGGCCACAAGCAGGGAGCTGGAGGGGAAGTGGAACTGCCGGGATTAGAACCAGCGTCCATATGGGATCCCGGTGCGTTCAAAGCGAGGACTTTAGCCACTAGACCACACTGACGGACCCTGTTCTTTTAAGATTTCTGTTTATTTGAATGACAGAGTTACAGGAAGAGAGGAGGGGAGCACACCTCAATCAACTGGTTCACTTCCCAAATGGTCTCAACAGCCTGGGTTGGGCCAGGCCACAGCCAGGAGTCAGACGCTTCATCTAGTTCTCCCACATGACTGCAGGGGCCCTAGGACTTGGGCTGTCTTCTACTGCTTTCCCAGGTGCATTAGTAGGGAGTTGGATTGGAGTAGGAGCAGCTGGGACTCAAACTGGTACTCAAAAGGAATGGCGGCACTGCAGGTAGCAGCTTAATTTGCTGTGCCACAGCACTGGCCCCAAACTGAGCTCTGAGTCCTAGCTTTGTTCTCCCCTGGCCCGGGCTGTTACAGGCATTTCGGGAGAGAACCAGAGAGTAGAAAGTCACTTTCCGTTTATCTTTCAAATAAAGTAGAAAAGATTCTTTTTAAAATGTACACAGTGTTTCTATAGAAAAGGGCTTGCCTTTATTTGAAGTGAAAACTATCCCAAGTGTATCTTTAGGGGGAGAAACAGTGTGTTTAATAACTCTCACAAGAAGATCAGGAGGTAGAACCAACTCCACTAGAACCTTTACATTCTGGAGAGGAAAACCATTTGGGTTGCCAGCATGGTCTTTACGTCCATCTCTATGTCAAGAAAAGACTTCCTTTGAAGTCACTGAACATAACGGTTCAACTTGTATGGAGAAGGTGAACTCAGTGGAAACCACTGCCGGCTTAGAATCGGAATCGAATGAAATGGCTTTGGCCCTTGATCCAATCTTCAAGCAGGTTCTGGGGGAGGAGAGCCAGAAAAGAGAAAACGATTTGCCAAGCACCTACAAGGTCTTCATCTCATTTCCTGATTTCCTCATTTTCTTCAAGTATTCCCAACTTCCTCCTAGTCCCATTTCTTCCATATTAAGCTATATTTTTCTTGAAGGACTCAACTGCTGGGCCGTCTTATGCTTCTGTTTTATCTAACCCGTGAGTTCTGCACACAACAGGGTTTTATTGTACCTACACACTGGCCACAGAAAAATCACACCATTCCATAACTTTATGCCCTCCTTGTCAGTTCTACTTCAGCGGCTTCTCGGTCCCATTTGCTCCCTTTACTTGTCTTCACTAGCTCATCTCTAATTTTCCTAATTTATTATCCAGATCTTCAATGCTCTCAATAGCTACTCCACGCCATTAATTCATTTTTAAATGATCTAGATATCTAGCTCACATATGCATTTGTAAGAAGCCTATTAGCAGACACATCCATATTCCACTTCAACCTTGGTTCCCAAAGGAGTCTTCCTTCCTCTTTTCCAAGTTTATATTGCAATTATTTGTGGAGACGCTTTAACTATTCAAGGGCAATCACTGTCTCCAAGGTCCTGAACTGCAAACCCCCATAATCATGTCAAGGATGCAACATGTACTCAGTAAAGGTCATCAATTAGTGGACTGCTTCCATTCCTACACAGCCATGAACAGAATATGAGGTAAAGAAGACCACTTGGGGGCCCGGCGCGGTGGCGCAAGTGGTTAAGGTCCTCGCCTTGCACGCCGGGATGCCATATGGGCGCCGGTTCTAGCCCGGCAGCCCTGCTTCCCTTCCAGCTCCCTGCCTGTGGCCCGGGAGAGTAGTCGAGGACGGCCCAAAGCTTTGGGACCCTGCACCCATGTGGGAGACCCAGAAGAGTCTCCTGGCTTCGGATTGGCATAGTATCGACCCGTTGCGCTCACTTGGGGAATGAATCATCGGACGGAGGATCTTCCTCTCTGTCTCTCCTCTCTATATATCTGCCTTTCCAATGAAAAAATAATAAAAATAAATCTTTAAAAAAAGAAGACCACTTGGAAAATTCTTGAAGTCCTTAATTTATACAACAGTACTTATTTCCATGGCTAAACAAAGTTAAGTACCTAAAAACACATATTTACAGTGACTAAGACATTTGCAAATGAAGTAAAACAAATGACATGTAAATACTAGAATTTAATTTTGAAACAGACTTTGTGCATGATAAATCCTTAATTTAATGCCTTTTGAATTAAACCAGTACAGTTCTCATAAAATAAGTAATTCACAAACTACTACTGTGAAAGTTTAGGAAGAAAAGAGATAAAATGATTATCCAATCACTCTCTCTCCTATCCAGTCACACTCTATCCCTGAAATGATAGAATACATGTGCATGTATCACCAACAGGGATGTCACAGATACTCCAGCGTGCATCAGAACTGTAATTCTCTTAGAATCTCAAGTAAGCACATCAAAAATAGACCCTGACATATGAAGATTTTCAAAATCCACTTCCACAAAGAAAGCAGTTACTTGAGTAAGCAGCAGAAATGGGACTTTGTTATTACAATTATTATGTTAGCTTATTCCGACTTATTAAGTAAGCATTGGTCTCTAATTTTAAATGAGTCATAAAAAACTAATTCCATTCAACAAAAGTGCACTAAGCTCCTGTTTAGACTAGATACGAAGGTAGGTGTTAGGATACAAACATGAAAAAGACAGTCCCTACCTGCAGGGCGTTTCTGGCTTAGTAGAAAAGACAGAAAAAAATATATAAGTGATCCATAATATAATATAATATTACCAGAAGTATAAATGAAATGCTTTTGGAACCTATCCAAAAGGAACTGATTCTTCCAGAGTGATGATGAAAATTAAGGATGGACATGGGGGAACAGGTACTATTAAGTCTTGGTCTAGAAGGTGGAGTAGGAGGTTCAAGGTTGGTACCAGTGTGAGAAGAGACTATGTGCTCAGGGTCACATTGGCATGGAGACGACAGCTGTTGTCTCGAAACAGCCTGCAGCAGCCTGTTGTGATCACCGCCATGGAGGTGAGTGGAGGGCAGTGCCCAGACACAAGGCTGGCACAGTCTAGACACTCTGACCAGAAGCATCCACCTTGTTTTGTTGGTGGGAAGTGTTTAAAAGCTGACTCCATGCTGTGTGCTCAGACTCCATTCACTGTAAAGGTTTTCTGTGAAATCTTCATTATTCTTTTTAATAAGTTTATTTTTGATAAAGCATAGAATCATTTAAAAAAAAAAAAAAAGCTGATTCTGGCAAGAGAGTGGAAGAACTAGAGAACCAAGAAGCAGAGGGTGGAAAGCTAGTTGGAAGAAAGTTCCTGAACTTTCTCTGGGACACTGACTTCCTAGCTTTCTGTGGCTTTTGCCTG